TAGCCAGAACCCACGGATTTGGGCCCTCCGCTGTGGGTAGGGCCACGCATGTGCTCATGCGTGCGTTTAACTATGGTGTGTCATCTAAGGGCTATCGAGGTCGTGGTTCGGACCGAAACCCCGATGGCCGTCGACTGTGCAATTAGCTAATCGGTGGCTGGGGGCGGTGAGAACTGCCCCGGAACACGGGTGTACCTTGTGTACGCGTTGTGTTGGTCTCGCCGTGCTCGGAGGTGAGTGCGAACTAATGTGTTTGTTGTTGCACTAACTGTGGCTGTACTGTTGTCCGGCGGGACCCCCGGCGGTGGGTCCGGCGTATCTAAGTCCCCTTCCTCGACTAGGTCGATTAGGACGTTTCTCGGGCGACCCTTGTTGACGTTCGCGTTTGTGTCGGGTTGGTAATTTGCTGCGCTTACCACCAGAGGGTCGGGATGATGTTCGGCTCTATCGAAGAACCGTTTGGTCAGGTCTTTAAAATATTCGCGAATCGTCGGGAGTCTGCAATCGCTGTGCAGGTCGACGTTGCGTTGATACCACTGCGCACCGGTTGCGCGGCGGATGAACTTATTTTGTACTATTTGCAACTTGTACAAGCGAGTAGGGTGCGTGTGGGCGAAGGTCATGCATGCGTAAGACATGATAGGTCGTACGCAGGTCTTATACAATAACAATTTGTGCCTTAAGGGCATTTTACTTTTAGCCTTACTTAAATTGTGTAGCCGGCCGGAGACGAATGCGGCTCTATTGCGAACGTTATTAATGTGCGTAGTAAATTACATACGCGAGTCGAAAGAGACTCCTAAGTATTTGACCTTTTTCTCCCAGGGGAGCGGTTGGCCATAAAGGGATATTTGCCCCAACTTTCTGCACTGACGAGGGCCATTATAAAGATGTGACGGGTAAGTACTTCGTGTGAAGTGAATCGCCACACTCTTTTAGGGATTTATTTCTATTCTCCATTTGCGGAACCAATCGCCGAGGCGGTCGAAAGCGCTTTGGAGTCGAGTGGTTAGTATTCTAAGGTTGCGGTCTGAAAAGAGCGCCGTGTCATCCGCGAAAAGCGCGGGATTGACGTGGGGGTCTTTAGGTATATCGCTCGTGTACAGCGTAAAGAGCAAAGACACAGAGATAAAACACAGTTCACAACTAATGTTAAAACAGGTTCAGTATACTCGTAGAATGAAGTTATTGCTATTTATAAGTTACAGGAGTTTAAAAATATTTTCTCTTGTTTCTAATGTGTATAATGTTTTGACTCGATGGTGCCGTTGCTAATCTACTGGATTCGCCGTTGGGGGGTCGTGGTTTCGATTCCCACATGGAACAAGTATTTGTGTGGTCCACAGATAATTGTTCCGGATCTGGGTGTTTGTTTCCTAAGGTGGATTGACGTGAGGCAGCCGGCCGGTCTTGAAAGGCATTGCCAAAACTGCTTACAACATGATCCACATCTTGTGCCGACCCCACCTATGTGAGATGAGGGCAGGATGATGACCATCATCGTTAATGTTATAAACGATGAAATGTATTTCTTGTTTTATCCCTTTTTAGAGAGATTTAAGACTTTTTATTGTTGACACGGTTTTGGCTTTTTGTATTGGAGAAAGATGGGAAATAACAAAATAATTTAGATTGCTAGAGGTGTTTGTGATATTGATTTCGGCATATGGGAAAGCAAAATAACGTTTGTATAGTGGTTATTAGTATATCCGAAAATAAAATCTTCCAAATGTCGAGAGTCCAAAATATATATAAAACGCCATAATATTTATAATAATTATTATTTGAACTGAAGTATCTCGCATAAGTTCTCAAATATTATTTGTATATATCCGAAAATAATATTTAAACTGTGTTTATGCAATAGTCTAAGATTTTTCTTTATTATTCATGAACATACACGCATATTATTAAAAAAGCAAGTGTCAAAATAATCTGCACATTGCGGCAGTTGGCAGGGTGGTTCATCCACGCACTTCGATCGTATTAAATGATAAAAATCCCATTTCCCAGATTCCATGAGCCGCCCCGCCAATAGCCCAAAGACAGATGGCGTCGCGGAGCCGGCCGCCAAACAAATTCAATATCGTCACTGACAATATCGGCCTTAAATGCTTTATGTGTTTGCGCGAGTTTCTTTTATGTATCAGTATGACGATTACGTTTCTGATAGTGTAATTCCACTGTGTATTTAATTAGTGCTGCTGAAGTCGTGTATTAAGTAATAAAGTGGTTAGTGAGTTAGGGTATAATAATTCAGAAAATAATCTCTGAAAATTAAAATTTAAGAGTTAGCGTAACATTTATTCTTAACCGCTCCCCACAAAACATAGTTCAAAAGCCTCGAATTATATCAGATTTTTGCTGATGCTACGATTTTAGAAAACGGTGCCCCAAAGAAATGTTAAGTGGAACGTGTAGACTCGTCCTTTTGAAAGCAAACGTCACTTCATTCATGGGGTGACTCCGTCCAGTTTTTGGAAACAAAAATTCTTCAAACATAGCGCGCTCTTCATTGAGCCCCAAATGCTATAATTTTGTTTATTGACATAGCCTGTGACGTGAAAAGACGATCAGCATTTCATTCGGCAATGCGATTTCAAGTCCATTTGGCAAACCGGAAATTTATCGGACGGTGACAACTATTGGTGGTACTTGGACTAACTACACTTTGAAAGATTTCATACCGAGGTCTTCATGCGAAATGTTGCTCAGAGAAGTACGAAAAATGTTCATTTACCAAAAGAGGTTGATGGAATTTCAAGCGCAATTTGTTTTATTCTTGTATACGGCTGCCCATAGAAATTTACAATACCTGAGTGGTTAAGCTTTGGAAATCTTTAAAAATGACCTCAGACCTCTTTTATCAGACAAAATATGAAGCTTTACTATTTCCACTAAACGCCGGTCTTCTCTGAGGCCGGTATTCTTGTGAAAACTTCTATAGACGTGGAGCGATTTTTGATCATTAAAAATGTTATAGGTTCGCGTCACCGAAATTCTATTGTTAATTAAAATTTATAGAGCAAAGGACGAAGAGTTTATCGCTGCTGCGGGAATCGAACCCACATCTCTCCGATTCCCATGGTTGATTCCCATTGCTCGGCGCATCTATTCTTATTACACGGTATACGAAAAATTTCGTATATCGTTTTTCAACGATAATTCGTAGAATAAATGTCGCTATTGCTATATGAAATTCAAGTTTTTGTAGTGATAGCTCAGTGTCCGGGCGCTCGCCTTTGATTCAATGTACTCGAGCAACCTAGGTTCGATCCCCGGTGCCGACTGCCAGCACTAATGAAATGGTTATTTTAAGTGCTGTATCACGTGCTACAGCGGTTAAGGGAAAAATCGTGAGGAATACCGGCATGTTTTCGAAATAATAACAAAAAAAAAGAACATATTTCGAAGATATCTGAGGTCCGCCAATCCGCAGTGGGGCCGCGTGATGGATTGTGCCCTGATACTGTTGCCCTGCTGCCCTGTATAGAGGAGGCCTTTGCCTAGCTGTGGGACAGTATAGGCTGATGAAGTCAAGGGCTGAGATCTTTGGATGTGTTTAACCTATCCTTACATCGTTTAAAGTTCCAAAACGCGGGGACCTTAATGTAAAAACGTTTAGGGAGCTCGAGCACGTTGGAGAGCGGGTGTAATTGTGCAGCGACCATGGCAGTGCAGAATAATGTAATAAAGCGGTGGACGCCCTCTCAGGGCTGGGTGCAGTTGGCCGCTAGTGGGGGCCCGAGACGAGTTCTCCCGAAATACGCGGACGCCGCGGCGGTGGCTCACAATAAAAACTAGAACTGATACGCTTCTACCGGCGTCGCGCGAAGCTATTATTGGCCTAGAGGCGCGACGCATTGGCCCACAGAGCACGCGCGCCGGCCAGAGCGGGGATTGCGAACGATACTTTCATACCTAACGCTGGCGGAGGTCTGTCGTAAAGTGGAACGTGATACGTACCTATGTATTTGTAATTTTGATTTAGCCTACAGAGTGAGTTAAGAGAGAAGGTTGGCATCTGCAGCTCTTTGGGCGTTCCGTGTTCAGCGCTCATGTGCGATGGTCACTGAACGTCCGTGAACTGCGAGCCCATTTGCTTCTTAGAAGCTAGACATATAATATCTATACATACCGATCAATGTACATTTTTACCGTCATCATAAAGATGTTTGTTAACGTAACCGTAAGAATAGAAAGATTTTTAAGTTAACAGTTTTTGCACAGAAAGAAGGCTTCTAAATTTTTTTAACTTCAAATCTACCGTGGTGAACTTCTGTCGTAGTATTACAAACTTACAAATTTTAAATTTAACTAAAAGATACAATCCATAATGACTTGTAAAATACAGTAAGCCTATAATATGTGTCCTATATGTGTCCCACTGCCGGTCAAAAGCCTACAGGGGGTATTAGCGAATAGTCTACCAGCAGAGTTCACCAGTAGCAGATTTGATCCATTGGTCGCCTTAGGCACATGAAAGATTGCCGCCCCCCTACTCGCTGTAAAGCACAAAGAATTAAATGATGTAAAGTAAAAATGAAATAAAAATTAATGACAAATATTGAGTGCTACCCGATCATGAACCGAAGAATGGTACCTTCTCATCAAGCGCGCTTCATTTATTATAATGTCTACGGAATATCGCTTACGCGAAAGGCAAGAATGATAAGAAATCCCAATAAATATCTAAAATATCCCCACCTAGTCCGGGGCCTACTCGGCCTATATAATTTTAATCATTATTTCGAAAAGATGTGGGTTTCCTCAGGTTGTGTGTGTCCTTCACCGTTGAGCGCGTGATAAGCCAGCACTTAAAATTGGAAAAAACAATGTTCTTGGTGCCGTCCCGTCACCAGGATGAATTTAGGTTCCTCGAGTATATTAGTTTAAAAGCGAGCGTCCGGACACTGAGCTATTAGGACAATGACCGCGTAGACTGCGGTTCACAGTTTAAGGTATGCATTAAATTAAAGAAATAAGGTAACAGTTTGCGCATGAGGAAATTTCTCCTCTTCGGAATAGCGCGTGTTGATCTTTGGCCAGGCACCGGGCTCCGTGCGCGGCCGCCAGTGGCCAATAGCAGGTCGCGCTGCCATACGCGGCGCATTGTTCCCCAGCCGAGTTCGTTCTCGGGACGCTGTTTGGTGTTGACAGTGCCTTTGGGCAAGCATAGATCTTTCAGCCCTATTTGCGTGAGACATACTTAGTTCTCGTCGTCGGACGTCGGTTCAAAAACGATGGTGAAATTTTAGAAGTGGTGATCTAAATTAATTATCAATAATAAGGCAACGCGCAAAATGTTCTATTTACACGTGGTAAGTGTTGTTAATCATATACTCGAAAGCTTATGATCGTCTTAACATTTCACATTTCTTATAAAGCATTGCCGAACAATCTAACAGTAGGCACCCCATTATATATGTCAGATTTAATTATTTTTTGATTATAAAGATACGGTACTCTCTGAAATAAAAATATTGGGAAGTACTTTATGCCAGCGTTAAATCTCCTAAACTCCCGCCACCTCCAATATGTTGGTCGAGTTAATACCTATATATTCTTACTCCAGTATAAGCCTTGCAGGAATAGTTTATGTTAGTAAAATGTAGTTATCAGTTAAATGTTTAGGTAATATATATGTTAATTAACCAAAATGTTTTCAATACTAAAATTGGACATTAATAATGTCTTTATTTATTGTAATTCGCAAAAGTGGGAAACATATTATCAAGTTAGGCCAGTATTTTTTATATCTTTAGTTCTTTAAATTAATTTATCCATATCCATTATACTATATTAATGTAAGTTATTAATTGCAAACCTCATATTTTCTTAAGATTCATGGTTGTATTCGTTAGTAAACAGATAATTTATCACCGATGTTAATGAAAACTTTGTATTGGCTTTTTTTGTATAGTTTCGATAAGTAAGAAGCTGTAATCAATGTTAAGAAATCTGTAACTAATGTTAAGAAGACAAATCTTTTTTTCCAACTTATAGGTCACAAATAGTCACCATCTTGTGGCTTTAATAGTTTCTTTATATTTTGATATGTTAATTTTGTTCATACGCGGACGATACTATAACCTAACTGGATTCTCACGTCCCGAAGGCGAGTAGATCTAAATGTCTTAACTACATATGCCAAGAATTAAGATAACAGGAGTTCAACATGATTTATTTGTTAAGACAGCTTCCGACTAAGCAAACAAACGCCTTCTAACGTTGGGCGGATGATAGCACAGTGAGATTTCGCATGCAGCTTTATTATGGCGCATTCGTTCCATTTATCTTGGTGGGATGAATAAATTTTACGATCGGCTCCGAACACTTACAGCCGTGCACTCAAATCTAACGGAAGTTTTGCATCTGGATGATAGCTCTAGTGTTAATTGATATGAAGGTCCGAAGGTGGAAGCGGCTGGCGCATTGGACAAAGGGAGTACAACTTTTTCCTAAAAGACGGCAGTAAATGGGCGTTATAGAAACTTCACATCGCTTAGAGTATATTTTAATTGGATATTTTACACGCGCACCACCGAACGTAAGGCAAATATGTCTCTATTATCCCCTCCTCGGTCCCGTAAAGTCGCGATGCTTCCTTGGCCGAGTCGGGCTTCCGTGGTTCGGGCACGAAGTGATTGCTCTTTGCATTACGAACGTAAACTCGACTAGTGAATATTAAAATTATTGGGAACATGGAATGTAATAAATAAGGACTCATATTTCGCTTCCAGTTTCTCGGTAATAAATCATTGTCAGTCACTCGTGGAAGCGAGCGTACACGTGTACATTTCGTAATTAAATACGAATAAATCAATTTCTTCTAGACTCACACAAGCTTGTTTGTAATTTCTGCGTAAAAAGGAATGAATTATGACAGACTTCGCCATTGTTCTTTAATTAATGCGCTTTCCGTACTCCGTTACCGTGTCTGAGTTCACTTGCGTTATGTCATGTCTCCATCTATTTCAGCGATTCGCTGTTGCTAGAAGTCAAATATTTATGTAGCTAATTCTTCGGAGAGATTTATGTGTGCGGGTGAATAAATCAAAAATGTTTGAGGGAATTAATCTCATGCCAATATGATGGCACCGATTCGGTTTTATTTAAGCTCAGTTATAAAGAGCAGAGGAACTTCTTTCTATCTAGTTTATTCGTTTTTTTTAAATCTCCTTTAAATTTATTCGAGCGCAAACATTAGTTTATACACGTATCGGAAATGGTTTGTGAAATATTAGGCATGTCGACCAAGCTTAGGTCTATCGAAAGTGAAGAAAGAGTGTCATGATAAGGGTTTTCTACAAAAGGTTTTATGATAGGCATATGATAACCTGATTAAGTAAGTTTATTACCATCGTAAAACCACTGTTAACGCTGTTAACTAATTGACACATTAATATTATTATACATAATAGAAACAACTTTATTAAAAAGCGAAGACTTGATATGAAAATTAAGGAAATTTTATTAACATTTAACTAAGTCGAATCCTAAAATAGTACGAGCTCAAATAGATGTAAATAGGAGGTACTTAACATCGAGGCAATTTGTGTCCACGTACAGGTACATAGTTACAAGCGTTAAAATTAAAAACTTGTACATTTATGACGTGCCTGCCTTGTTGATGGAAACGTTGCCAACTGGTATGGCTTAAGAGACGTAAAACTTTAATTTCGGGCAATAACTGGGGCGTTATGTGCCTACTCGTACCGCCGTGATGGACGTGTACTCGTAATGCTAAAAACTGGAGCGCGTTCGGAAACGCGCAATAAAAACGTTAAAGGCGCATTGACATCGACCATTGTTAATGAGGTTTCCGAACAGATGTTCCGCGCATAGTCGCTCGAACGCTCGCTCATTTCTAAAATGGAGCTTTCATTTAAAGCTGCGTAAATAAAATCAATGGGGCGTCGTAAAAGAGCTGTGTAAATTTAAATTTCCGTTCACTTTTTATTTTGCGGTTTAATTTCGTCTTAATGATATTGTAAAAACATAAATTAAATAAATATACTAAGCTTTTGACTTTGAAATGATCCTTTTGTTTGGAAAATGCATCGTATTTGGTGCTTTTTACCTTTTTGGCACAAATCAATAAAATAAAAAAAAATAGGAATAGCAAATCATTCAGATGGCTTTATTGCACCTGAAAATCTTTATGTATTTTTTTAAAGTTAAGTAACAGCCTAACTTCTAAACTAAATGTCGCACTTCTGGAGAGACCTTCTCTGTGCAGGGGGCGTTAGAGCACAGACACCACGCGGCCCCACTGCGGATTGGCGGACTTCACATACCTCGAAATATACTTTTTTCGTTATTATTTCGAATAAATTAGGTCATCACTTTTTCTTTCTCCTGCCCTTATCCCACACTAGGTGGGGTCGGCACAACATGTCATCTCCTTCCACTTTCCTCCATCAGCCGTCATCTCAATAGTGACCTATACACAGACATATCATTCTTCACACAATAATGTGATAAATCAGCATTTTAAATTAACAATTTCATTGGTGCCGGCTACGGGGATCGAACTCAGGTTGTATTATTAAAAGCGAGCGTACGGACAATGACCTATCACGGTTATTTATTTCCCAAAAATTATTAAGTAAATTTCACATTTTATTATGCATACTTACTATCGAAACCATATCTCACATTATCAAAAGTTATACCTTCAATTCAAAGTTATAACTTCAAACAAGCCGTGATAGCTCAGTGTCCGGGCGCTCGCCTTTAATTCAATATACTCGAGCAACCTGAGTTCGATCCCCGGTGCCGGCACCAATGAAGTTTTTAACTTTAAGTGCTGACTTATCACGTGCTCCGCGGTGAAGGAAAACATCGTGAGGAAACCTGCATATTTTCGAAATAATAACAAAAAAAATATATTTCGAAGATATGTGAAGTCCGCCAACCCGCAGTGGGGCCGCGTGGTGGACTATGCCCTGATACCCTCTCTATAGAGGAGGCCTTTGCCCAGCAGTGGGACATGTATAGGCTGTTACTTTACTTTTACTTTTTATACCTTCAATTATGTACAGTGAATATATTTATGAGTAATACTGTTTGTCAGATGGTAGAAGTGTATGTATATTATGTCTTTTTAATAGAAAATAAATAAAACTGCCAAAACTATCAAGGATGTTATTTTTGATCAGGAAGTTCGCGAAGGAGCCACATTACTGCTAATAAGTTTCTTTTTAACAGACGAAGAGTACGTCATTATTGACGCCACGGACACATGTCGAGGATACGTCATAAAAATTACACTAAACGTTTTGCGTCAGTGTTTTATTAACAGTGTTCAGACTATGCCGGCGTGTTTTGTTTGGTAGCTGTGATATACGAGTGGGATGCTTATAAATAACATTGCTTTGATAAATGCAAAGATATATTGTGAAATGTCAGAGATCGCTACAGATATTTATTTTACGAAATAACATTAAACTAAACATTCATAATATAAGAATGTCAGACAAGAAACTTGCGTTCGCTCTACTAGTAGTAAAGTGTACTTTTAGACTGGACTATAGTCCGGAAGCAAGTTATTGATCTTGGATAATTCCACTTATATAATTCATACTAATTGTCAATTATGACAAACTAAAATGAAATATAGTTGAAATCGCTTTCGGCACCTATTCCAGTTGGTTCGGGCGGGTGGCACCGCTGACCGCACTCACCTGCAGTTTGGCTCTCGCGTTGGTCCATGTTCTATTTTTGTGGCAAATCCGATGGCTCGCTGGCATTTTACGGCCCAATAAACGCTCGACTCGGGAACCGAACCTTGGTTTCGTCACATAAACCTATTTATTGCCCGCACCGACAACGTACACTTTCGTCATTGTTACAATACTAGCCGTTTGTGGGGCCACAACTACTCAGATTTTGTAAACTTGTTAATGAACGTAATATTGCATGACATCTTTATTGGTTTTATAAATGGTATTGCATTGATTCATACCAAGAATGCAAGTGATCCGAAGTGAAAATGTTGCTAATGTGGCAATTTGCATTTTTTGCCAGGGACGAACGCCGTTTTAGCTTCCTTATACATAACCCGGTAATTTACGTACTATTGATTTGTTTCATGTTGTGTTGAGAAAGTTTGCGAAGTTTGTGAATATGTTCAAACATAGATTCAGTAGATGGCAAGAACCAATGGGTAGTTTGCCAACCAAATGAAAGAAGGTAAGTACAAAATCAAATGAACTGTCTGATCGTTTCCAAACTAAAAAAAATGTAATTTTATATATTAACCCACTCAAAAAAAATTATTTCAAATTATCTCGAATGTACAATTTTGTTTAATATTAACTTATTTCACACTTCTAAAATTTGATTGTCCTTTAGCTCCAAGCTTAGTCTAAATCTGCGTCTGCTAAAAGTCAGCCATTTCATGGCCCAATTTAATCGCGTCAATGTAAACAGAACGCGTGAGGAACAGTTGAGGTGAGTTGATGGACTCGATAAGTCTGTGATACACACTTTAGCCCGAAAACTAAGGGTTGGTTAGGAATTATAATATTTTTGACTTTGGGGTTGTTTAGGCAAAAGTGTGCAAATATTTTAGCGCTAATATGCTTCATATATATTAGGGACGTTATATTGATTAGTATAATTGTACATTATACAGATTTTATTTTTTTCAAAATTATGTTATTATTTAATCATTATTGTCACTCTTTAAGGTGAATGAAATAATTGTAATGCCCCAATTCTAAACGATAACAACACGATGTCAACCATATAAGATGTCGCAACGTTTCCTCTTCTGTCGGTTATTAATTTTGTATTTACGATCAGCCTATTTTTCTTCGGAATTTAGCGATTATATTTTAATGAGAAATCATATACCAAAGTTGTGTTGACCTGCGTAAAATTTTATTATGAAATATTTGTAATATTTTATATCTTTAATTTATACGTTTAAATTTACACACCCACGGACAAAAAAAAATTAAAAAGCACTCAAGACAATAGTACACAAAGGCTCTTTAATTCTAAATGAAATAACTTGAGGTGCAAATGATCACTTTAATTTAAAATGAAACGTAAATAGTGTGTTCTAAAAGTACGTTATATCAAATAAAAATAAATATTAAGTAAAAAATGCAGACTACTAGAATTTATACAACAATAAATGTACATAATATAGTTCATTAAGGAAACTTTAAGACCTGAACCTGCTTATTGTGTTAAAGTGTGTGGATTCGATTCCCACTACTGGAAAATATTGTGTGATGAATATTGTGTTTTTTCTGTCTGGGTTTCTTTCTTTCTTTTTTTTTTACATTGTCCTTTCTTTGGGATAACATTATCCCGTGTTCTAAGGACGTTTTTACAAACATAAATTTCACGTGGACAAACACCCAGATGCAGAACAACTATCTGTGGGTCACACAAATAGTTGTACCGTGTGGGGATCGAACCCACGACCCCCGACGCCGAAGCCAACACCTTAGCAACTACGCCACGGAGTCATCAATTTTTTAAAATAAAATAGTTTAAATATAATTATAATATTATTACGTTAAGTTTAAGTATTTTTTTATGTTTGTATTTGTTTCTTAAATTTAGTATTTCTGTTATTCAAAGTAATCACACAATTCGATGCGTGTGTGATTACTCGGTATTCGATGAGTTTGTGTTAATCTTGTATGCTATTTCTAAAAACATGTAATTTTGTAGATAGACCTTAATAAATAAATAAATAAATGCATCTTTCCCAACGCAGTGGTAGTTTGTTGATATTCTTCTTGTAAAAATCTGCTGGACGGGAGGCAACAAACTTTTTAAGGACATTTTGTACAGCCTCTCAGGAATTGAATTTTTTTCCAGTTAAAAACTTGTCCAAATTTTGGACAAATTAACGGTCTCTAGGTGCAAAGTCTGGTGAGTATACCGGATGAGGGAGAGCTTCCTAGAGTACCGTCGCTAGACCACCGAACAGTGACCATCGCCATTCACGCAACGATTTGGTTCAAAATTTCTTCATTTCTGTGCCATTTGGGCAGCGCGAGGCAGGTCTCCAATTTATCGCGAATGGACCAACACTGTTTCGATGCTAACATCAAAAGCTGCTGTTAGCTCGGCTGTAGGTTGAGTATCATCAGCTTCTACAACCGCCTTTAATTTGTCATTGTATACCAAAGTGTTCGGACGATCACGAGGGTCATTTTTCAAGTTAAAATAACATGTTGTTATAAACTAATAACAGGTTGTAACATATTCCATAATTACATGATTTTTAAAGTATCCATTATGAGGAAAAATGTTCAAATATAATGGAAATACAAAGCTAATCGATAAACAAAAGATTGACTTTGTAAAAAGAATAACATGTTTTTCAAAAACAAGGCCAAGCAAAACTTTTTTTGTTTAAATGTCCAGGACTGAAGAACATATCATTAGCATGTTGTGGTCGTGTAGATACTTTTAGATTATCCGTTTTCTGTGTGAATCTATAGAATCAGAAGTAGAACTTATAACAAAATAAACTCACTTCGGTGCAGCCCAGACTGAAAGCCGCATTACTATTAAAACAAGAGCAATTATAGATAGCGATCCTAAGCTCGTTGCATCATCGCGAACGCATTCCAGATACCGACAGGGTTACACAAACACAGCAGTTTAGATTGTACAATGTTCTATCTCGGCAAAAGCTGTCTTATAAATATACCAATGTTGCTTTTTATTACTTATTCTTGAAACATGTCCAATCGAAAAAAAAATTTTTCCCATTGAGACAATAAAAAGCGTAAATTGAACGTTTTTTTTTCCGATTCAGATGTCTTTTTTATGATTAAATAAAATCGTCTTTACTGCCACGTTGGAGCGATTTGCCTTCCGTCCATGTGTTTCTTTGACAAAATGGTGAAATTACTTTTAAGATCTACTTAAGAGAAAGTAAGTTAAGTTTGTTTTGATCTAGATTCTAAATCACCACTTCTATAAATTATGAAATGAGGTACGTATTTCAACTTAAACAATATTTATAAAGGAACAATTTTCGGTCGACAACACTTTAAGTCATTCATTCTGTTCAATGAGCACAGGTGAAGGAAAACAAAAAAAAAATTGTTATGACATTACGGTACAATATATTTAATTTCTCGGCTTTTCTCTATTATAATATGCATACATACAACTTTTGCACCTTCCTTTTGAATTACTATTGCTGAAAATTGCATCAAACACTGGGAGCGACTATGTTTTATACCATGTAAATAATATGAAAGATGGTAATGGTAATGAATCAGCCACCCTGTACAAAGATAGGAGGGATCTGATTAGGACGTGGTCCTTTATTTAAATCTAAACATTTTAATGATTTAATACTTGGTCCTAAGTAATAAATATCTTAACTTAAACATTATTATAAGTTAAAATTTTAGATTTTCTAAATTAGAAATTCTGAATATGTGGTGGAAAATTAGAGGAATGGAGAATAAATTGGAGGATTCCGTATTGATTGAAATTGTTAACTGATCATAATTATTACGAGTTCGTATGTCATGTGTAGTCATCTAACGGAAAATGGATAATCGTGCGACGTTACGGTTTGGATTGCAGGGCCACCGGTGGCAGAGCCGGGCGAGGTAGCGGCGGCGGGTGGGGGCGGGTGGGGGCGCAACGTCGCGATGGGCGCCCAATGATGCCGCGCCGCAGACGCCGCCTCGCCTCCCGCCTCAGGAACTACCTGAGGGGCCTCTTGGCGTTCCTCTTCAGCAACGTCGGGGTCATTGTCCTCGTCGTCGCTTACACAGTCGCCGGTAGGGGTCACCCTCCTTGATCATTCCTTTGGGTTTTGTTTGCTCTGTTGAGACGAATACTTTCGTCGCAGTAACTTTTATAAACACGAAATCACGGACACAAAGTCCTAGGAACAAAGAAAGAAAGAAAGAAAGAAAGAAAGAAAGAAAGAAAGAAAGAAAGAAGAAATATTTATTCGGCGCATTACATTACAGGAAAAAAAAAAAAAGAAATAACATTAGAATTGTAAAAATGTATGCACCGAAAAGGTCTCCGCTCAGTATATTGCCCTGGCAAACAATACCACGGCACTGGTTTTCTGCGGATACCTTGTAAGATTGGCGTTGAGCTCCATGCATACAGCCAACAAAAATAACAATGAAATATACTAAAAACAATAAAAAAGGAATATAAAAGTTAGGAACAATAAAATCAAAAATAAAGTATAACAAAAAAAAAATTATTAACAAAAACTATAACATGTCCTCAACACAATACGAGTACCTATATACCTATGAGAGCTGAGTTGACTGGGTGCAACTTTAAATATATATAATATATGCAGACAGCAATCTGATCGGTTTTACTCCGTCTTTTGCAAATGAAGTAGAAACTTTTTGTATTTTGCTTTAAAGATATGTAAAGACGAAGAGTTTCTAATAGGTGGTGGGATGTTATTCCAACACTTTGTGGCGGAGTATCGAAAGCTTCCACGGAAAGCCGCAGTACTAAAAACAGGGCATATAAGACGGTCACAAAGTCGTGATTGGCGTTGTGTAAATTTTAACTTGCCATAGAGATATGATGGGCTTTGTTTATTTATTACCCCGAAAATTAAGGAAGCAAAATGTAGTGCTCGCCTTGACCGCATATTCAACATGTCGCTTCGATTAAGGTATGGTGTTATATGAGACCGGCGTGGAATTGGAAAGCAAAAACGAGCACAGGAATTTTGAACTCGCTGAATATGTTTTTTTGTACGCTCTAGTAAGCACCCAGTGATGACTGTATCTGCGTAATTTAATTTTGATAGTATTAGAGATTCGCAGAGATGAATCCGCAAGTCTATATCCAGGAATTGACGTATTTGGTACAGCACTTTTAGCCTATAATAACATTGTTGGACTATATTTATAACATGACTTTCAAATCTTAAATGACTGTCAAGTAGTACACCTAAATTTCGAACTTCTTGAACTTGTTCAATTTTGTCATTTCTTACTTTTATCTGTGGTTTAAGAGCAGTTATTTGGTTTACTTGTGCTTTGGTACCTAAAACAATAAACTTTGTCTTTGTAGGATTCAGAACAAGACTGTTAGCTTCCGACCACTCAGCTATTCGGTTAAGATCTTCGTTAATTTGAGTAACAGTTGTCCCTACTTCACTAGGCTTCAAAGTCTTATAGATTTGTAGGTCATCAGCATATAAATGATGCTCACAATTCAAAATATATTTCGGTAGGTCAGCTGTATATAAAATAAAAAGGATTGGCCCGAGTATAGATCCTTGTGGAACTCCTCGATTTATTGGGTAAACACTTGAGTACTTTTTGGAACCGTCTATATGAGTGATTTCAACCTTTTGAGTACGGCCAGTCAAGTAACTTGAAAACCACTTAATTGCTACTTGATCAAATCCATAATAAACAAGTTTTGCTATGAGTAAGGACGTGTTGATTGTATCAAATGCACGTGAATAATCAAGTAGCACCAAAACTGTACTCTTTCCAACACAAACTCGATATCTCTAGAGTCTATATCTCTTGATAGCTTCTGATACTCATTCACTAATTTACTTTATCTTTTTGGACCGGTCTTCCATATGAGTCTTATCATCATCATCATCATTTCAGCCTGTTTGAGTCCACTGCTGAATATAGGCCTCCCCCACATACTGTCACGAAGCACGATCGTGACTTCTCTGCACCCATCGACCTGCATCCATTAACTTTCCACACGCATTTAGAAGTCTTAGGTTTATATTAATTATTTATTCATTTGGGTGCTTTTAAATCTAAGCATCTATAATTATTTTACATAATCACTTCCGTTATTAGACAGAACGTTAATTGTTTACGTTAAATAATCACAATCAACCCGTTTCAACTTATTTTTGGGAGAGAATGTAATAATATCATTTTACATAGTGGCCATAAAATCTATAAACGTCAGGCGATGTTTTAAGCCCAATAAATTTTAAATTGAAGTAGCGACTCTCGCCACGCCGGTGTTTTTCACCGAATCAAAAGAAGTCTGCCGTCGAGTGCTCATTATCATAATAAATCATGCGATCTATTTAGTCATCGTTTTATTCTTGAGAGAAGAATTATTCTTTTATCAAGCCGTTCTTATAAATTTATTATAGAAATCTGTTCCTGTACAAATATTAAAAATTTAAGAGCATAAATTAAAAAAATATTTAAGAGGATACAGATTTTCACGGTTCCATGTCAATATATTTTTGCAAATATTATGTATGTTAGGAAAAATATCCATGACTTTATTAAATATTCTGATATTCATGACCGTAATATAAGAAGTAAGAATAATTTAGTTCTTCTTCGCTGTAGATTAGCCAAGGTTAGGACTTCATCCGTGGGGCTCTGTGTGCGCTACTACAACAAAATTCCTGATGATATTATAAATCTACCGGACAAAAGGTTCAAAGTTATTGTAAAGCAGACACTGTTTAAAAAAGCTTATTATAAGTTAGATTATTATTTAAATAACAAAGAGGCTTGGTTTTCCGATACTCCAGCACGGCATGAGAGACATATATTATAAGACAAATTATAAGACGTCGAAAGACGATTTGAAAAATCTTACTTCGAATAAATGATTTTGATTTGATTTGATTTGATTATTATCGTGTTTCAATTGTAAAAGCGAACGCTGTTGCTGAAAGTTAATTATTTGTTGCGTGTTTAAATTAAAGTGCAGAATATAATATTTGAACTAATGTTCATATATGTCAAAGCTCCTAGCCCTCAGCACTTTAGTTTCAGACTACAAATAGGGCACTTTACGTCATTTCTTATTTCCCTTATAATTAGCAATAAGTTATTGTTAATAAAATAAAACACTTATGGTTAATTGCTTTTTTGGTGCTATTATTACTATTATTACTTAAATCAGTTGTTGAATTAGTTTTTCAACGTGATTGTGGTTCTTACTTGACTTTTTTACAACACAATTTGGAACACAATTTAGAAGCGAATAATCCAAATTTAAAGAAGTTACCACGACATATTGTATTTAAGATGAAACTTGTAGATAATTTTTTAAAGTGGATTTGGTTTGTTATAAAATTGATAGATTTAAGTCGGTGAATTATAAGATATTAAAAATGTAATGAATATAATTTTGTGTTTTCTATAGTTTTATGCTATGTAAATGTGGGATGACAGTCTCGATCATCAGACCACAGATTTTATTTTGTCCAATAAAATGTATTCTTGCAATATTTGGGCGCTTTGAGTTTTGTATGACTAAACGTTTATAACAAATGGCATAATATAACTGCCATAGCTTTACGTCTACGTAATTACATAATATAATAAATCTATATTCTTTAATAGGTGCCTTCATGTTCCAAGCCATTGAGGGAGCGAGCGAGATAGAACGCGTGAACAATATGACGTTAGAAAGGAACAACACTGCCCAGTACCTCTGGCAGAATGTCACTCTAGCGCTTAATTTGTTCAATGAAACAGCGTTGAAGCACAGGTGAGAGAATTTCAAATTACAAGTCACATTATTAAAACGCACGCTAGCTGGTCATTACAATGGCAATGCTATTTGGTAAAACGAGGCTAAATTGTATACATTTTCGTTGCCATTTTATTTTAAGAATTAAGGGAAAGGTTATAACTGCAGTCAACGCCGCCACTATATTGTTACTCTAAATTTTGCAGAAGTTAACGTTTTATAATCATCGTCACAAGTCACATCTTCACACGACACACATCGCAATTATTATGTTTTGTGTAATGTAATTGTCCAGTTTATTTTGCTTCAGGATAAGCATCGAGCTGAATAAGTACCAGGGCAAGGTGGTGGCGGCTGTGCGCAAAGGCTGGGACGGCGGCAGGTCTTCGCGCCAGTGGAGTTTCTCCTCTGCATTTCTTTATTCGCTCACCGTTATAACTACTATAGGTACCTGAGCGTCTATTATCATTTTCACATGCGTCTTTAGAATATCACAACATTTGGAATGTTTTTCCTTGCGAACATTTTACTTTGGGGTTTATAAATTTGGTGGAGGTTGTGCATCTGGCACGCACTGAGGGTTTCTTGCGCTGGTTGCTTTCAATAAAACATTAAAAAAGCAATTACGGAACTCGAAAATGAACCCTTTTGGGTAAATCGTGAACAATATTGTTTAGTGATTATTTTAGAATTTTCATGTTACTCTAGTCAAAAAGAGAGTTGGCGAAGGCTACGATTGGTATTTGGTGATGAAACCCAATGACTTAACTCTGTCTATTAGTGATTTGGTCAAAGTTGGGCTTATGACTGTGGTTACAAAACACGGTAACTGATAGAAAGTAATTAAAAATGGCTTGTTTTACATTTGTATCGAAACGAGCAGAATGCAGTTTGCAGTCTATGGATACCGCATAATTTTAATGCAAACACTAATATAAAACAAACAATAATATAAAGACTTTTACCTTTGAAAACTTTAACCTAATTCACTATTTGAAAAGAAACCCAAAACACGTAGGTTTTAGTGTTTCCTAAGAGCCCCGGACGATTCTGTCGGTAGTTTTTAAGGTTCCGTACCCAAAGATTAAAACGTGTCTCTATAACTAAGACTCTGCTGTCTGTCTGTCTGTCCGTTTGTCACCAGAGTGTATCTCATGAACTGTGACAGTTAGACAGCTATAATAACAAATACGAAAAAAAAGAATAAAAAATTATTTAAATGGGGCTCCCATAAACCAGACTAGATAATGGTACGGAACCCTTCGTGTGCGAGTCCGAATCGCATTTGGGCGGGTTTTTTATTGAACGTCGCCAAACTAGCAGGCGGTTCATCTGACGTTTAACGATCACCTACGCCCATGGACATCCGAAACGCTAGGGTTGCAGATTCCTTGTCAACATTAAAAAGTGCCATGGCGCAAGAGAAAAAAAATAATGTTCATTTCAATTACCTTCAAATTTATGAAAAGATAAAACATTGCTAAAATATAAGTTGTTCTAAAGGCGTCAGATAGAGAGCGGCTTCAAGAAATTGATTCCTTGAAAGGTTTAGTGAGAGCGTCAGTAATCAGGTTAGTCGGTAGATTGGACGGGCGCGGCCCGAGGGCCGGCGAGCGATCGCGACGTTCCGCTGCAAATTCTATTGAATTTCGCTTCGGTCGGAGTGCGCCAATCAGCCGTCTCCAATTGCCATTAGGAATTGATCCAATAATAAATCTCATTTCATTTTCACTATGTTCAGAGTCAGCTAGAGATCGTCTCGTGATCAACTTCGGACGGACGTCCGACGGATTTTAATTTTCGATTATGATTCTGAATAGCGTGCGCTATTATTGGATTTCTCACATTCAAAAATTAATATCAAGTTAGTATGAATAAAATATAATAAAAAAAAAAATAGTAACCTTTGGTTACTATTTGAAATCTAAACCCTTCTATGGCTTTTCCTTCGCAAATTAGTGAAATTCTGAAAATGATAAAAATAAAACGAGTCTATTATGTATCATACCTATCCTTTAAAAAGAAATAAAAATGAAGTAGACATAAGACTTGTTAATATGGTATTCGTGTTTGTATTTCACAGGTTACGGTCACTTGAGCCCCCGGACTAGTTGGGGAAAGGTCATGACCATATTCTACGCATTACTCGGGATGCCGCTCTTCCTATTGTACGTCACCAATGTCGGTAAGCTGCATCAGTCTGCATCTGTCCCACCATATTCATCCTTCTACCGACGCTTACGTATAAATAGTTTGGCCTGCGATTTTATCATCTGGAATGAACTTATATCCAATTAGATAAAACTATAACTTAAATCGTTTTTAGGGATAAAATACTTTACCGTTAAAAGTTAAATGATGTCAACGCTGTTTCTTTTTCGATCAATTTCAAATATCTTCTTCGATGAATTTAAAAATTCTATTGTTTTTAGTATTATGCGATCAATAAATAAAAAATATGAAGAATTATAGGCAAGCAATATATAACAATTGATATTTTTAAACTCAGCAAATGATTAAAAAAATAGAAACAAAGTAGAAAGGTAAAAGCATCTACCTTTCCGTTCATAGGCTACTTCAAGACAAAAATTTTCACTGAGCGGTTTTTTTTTACTAAATAAACATGTGTTTATTATCTAAGTATATGCAGTAAGAAAGCCACCATAATAATATATGTAATGTTAGGCTCGAGAGCTTGGTATACCCATACATCATAGGTGATTTGAAATAAGTCGGGTTTGCGCTGGTCTTTGTTCAGGGCAGCTGTTGGCGCGTTGGTTCAAGTGCGTGTACGCCCTGGCCTGCCTCTGCCGCGGGTGCGCGCGAGTGCCGCGCCCCCTGCCGCGACACCAGCGCCCCTATTACCCCACCATCCGTACCACCCGCGCGTAAGTTCTTCCCGTACGCTACCACTGCTGCGCCTTATCTTTATATATATATAATTCTACTGTACGTGTGTTGTCACCGAACTCCTCTTAAACCGTATGCGTTTGGTTGGCGCCGTGGATGGTTTAGATTGATAATTATTTTTTAAGTTGTCGTATTGAAGTCGTGTGTATAGGACAACGTCTGCCCGGTCCGCTAGTAACTTATAAGAACTTACAACATTTTCTTAATTCAAATCAAACGCACACAATTTTTTATCAGCAACTTGATTCGCGATGATAAGTCCAGGACAGATCCGACAGGTCACCTTGGCCAATTGTACGTGGCGTGCTTGGGGATCGATAATACGGACAATATACACATTGTAGCCCCAGAGGGAAAAACCGTCAATGTGGTATATAAAGTAATATTTTATTGTACAGATCTGTCTATGTCTGCCAGAATGTTACGCTTTTATCCTATTCCACGCGGACGTAGTCGCAAGCAACAGCTAGAAAATTTATGAAAATAACTTAGATAAATTAAAAAAAATTAAATCAACATATTTTTACTTATCAGATGTTTTCGCTTTTAAATCCAGGTTTCTATTCTGTAAAGGTTCGTCGACAGCAGGACCCTTTCCAATTTTATTTTTATTTTATTTTATTTAGGATATGGAAGACTTACAGCTATTAAAACCTAACTAACCCTAAACTAGATGACAAACAGCCAATAACAAGCCTTCACTTATAGAAATATTATAGTTGGAGAGCAGACAAGTACTGTAGCTGATTAATATGGTAAATTAAAAAAAAATTACAAATGAATATTACAAGTCAAATTTATAAGACTATTTTACCTATTTATCTTGCTTAAAAAAGTTAAGGCTTAATTACCTTCTTGCCGATGACACACTCATTGTGAATGGATCAAAATAGTGCTATTTACATATTTTATTGAAGCTTGCAATTGCACGCACAATATAACTATTTTGCCTGTAATTTGATGACGCTTTAGGCAAATGCAAGGGCGGCGTGAAACGAATTGATTTGCACGGGACATTTATATATAGTTTGGTTAATAATTCAGGGCAATCAATTTCATTATTCAAATATATATTTTGAATATACTAACGTAAATCAGAAATTCTATAAAACGACAATTTTGTTTTAACTGTAAAATTGTCAGGTGTTATTTAGGTAATGATATTCTCAGACTTCGGCAGCTGTTGGAACAAACGTTGGTTTCAAGCGAAATTATAGATCAATCGCTTATTCCAATTCTCATTGGTTTGATATTAAAGATGGAGATAAGTGAAGCGGAGAGCATCGAACGCCTGCCATCTGAGCAGCCGCCGTACCACCTCAGGTGTGTATTATCTATAAATAATATTTAACTTCAATATCGCAGTACTTCCATGGCCTCTTATGATGTGATATCTATTACTCTCGGGACCAGACCGGTAAGAGATTGTACGCTATGTCGAAATCCTGCAGGCGCCCGGAGTACAGTTCATCGAGCGAGCTAAGTTACGTGTCGTACGACATGCAAACCGTGTCCGTGCCCGTGAGCGTCTGCGTGGCCGTCATGGTGGGGTGAGGTGGTTTCCTTCTTACTTATGGTACACGCCTTCACACGGTACACGTCTGTTACACGTATTTATATATGAACACGAGGCGACGGCACAAGCCCAAATATAGTTAAAGCTCATGGCCGTAATCACGCCCGAGTTGTAAAATTATTTGTATGTAGCGTATTGTGTTGTTAACGTGTTATGCCCGAAAAGATAAGTACTGTCATAGAAACAAGTCATAATGAATACGTTTTAAGCTTTGGCAACCATGAAATGAATCAATGCAATGCTTCGCAATGTTAGTGCGCGCATAATTGCATAAAATGTGTATTTTATGTATATCCTGTTTCTTCACCTCTCAATCACCTGCAGGTACATCATGTTCGGCTCCATGATCTTCGGCCTCTGGGAGAAGTGGGACAAGCTTGACGGTGCCTACTTTTGCTTCATATCGCTCAGCAGGTTAACGCCATTCCACTCTCTCGCTTTCATTTCTTGTCACCTTTCTAAATAAGTGAATTTCACAATTAATTATTGAAAAAATATCACTTTAGGTAATCTAGACCTAAATTATTGATAACATTTTCTTGAGTTATACGAGATTTATTACATATTTGCTTCAAAAGTGTCTTCAATCTGTTAGTGAAAGAGGAACCTTTTAAATTTGTTGTAGCAATCCATGTATAGAAAAATATTTATATTATTGTTTAATCGTTCTGGATCATATTTAAATGAAGATTTCAGGAGAGATTTCTAAAACTTTGATGAGAAGAAAAAGTCATCACATGATGTATTGTATAACTTTACAAATTAAAACAAAAGATAAAAAAATGTACTTGGTATTCTTAATATTTTTGGATCAATTCGGAAAAAACTGACTTTAACAGCTATCAGATACCCAACCATTTTTGATATTACATATTTTGTTATTACTTAATTATGATGGGAGTAATCTGTCGCTTAGATACATCTATCGGTAAGAGAGATTACATTTTTTGTAAACTAAGAATAAAACTTATGAAACTCTTAATGTGATATTTGTTTTGCTGCTGTATTACCGAATTCCAAGGTCCAATATAAATAAAATTAATATGGCACCACGTGAAAGTTAATTTAACCCAATGCAAAAAGAATTTTTAAAATCGTTTTGTTAATACGGACTTTTGAGGTCACAAACAAAAATAAATACAAATGAATTGGGAATGTAATTTTATGTAGTCGGATTAAAATGTGATTACACTTAATAGGCTATACTATGTTCTATTAGGTTGGGGAAAAATTCTTTTCGCAAATAGTATGTATGTACTTATAATATAATGTCTTTGGCTATACCATTTGTTTCTGGCCGATTTTGGTATTATTAAAAAGTTTAAATTTAAAAAAAGATAATTCCAAATTCAAATTAGGAAAATGTGTGATTTTAATTTTTTTTTTCTTACTGTTAAGATGAGCGATTCTAATGAATAATTCGATACATTTTAAAATTTCACTAGAAAAAAGGTAAAAATGCAACGCAAGCCGCGAAAAAAATTTGTGATATTTATGGACCTAGTGCAGTATCTGTGAGAGTAGCACATATTTGGTTTAAGCGTTTTTAATCCGGAAATTTTGATGTCAAAAATGCACCTCGCTCTGGGCGCCCTGTTACGGATAAAATGGATGCCATTTTTGAAAAAGTGGAGCAAGATTGGCTTATCAATACTTTCGATGTAGCTGAAGAACTGGGAATTGACCACAAAACAGTTTTGGCGCATTTGAAAAAGCTGGGTACACAAAAAAAGCTCGATATTTGGGTGCCTCATGAGCTCACTGAAAGAAACCTAATGAACCGTGTACTCATTTGTGATTCTTTATTACGACGTAATGAAACCGAAGCATTTTTGAAAAACCTGATAACTGGTGATGAAAAGTGGATCACTTACGACAAGAACGTGTGAAAAAGGTCGTGGTCAGGCTTCATAGACTCTGGCAAAACCCGGGTTATCTCGCAACAAGGTAATGCTGTGTGTATGGTGGGATTGGAAGGGCATTATTCATTATGAGCTGTAACCGCCAGGCAGGACTATTGATTCTGAACTCTACTGTGAGAAGAAGTTGAGAGAAAGCGGCCGTTTTTCATCATGATAACGCTAGACCTCACACATCTTTAGCCACTCAGCAAAAATTAAGAGAGGTTGTTCTGGGAGGTGTTAATGCATCCGCCGTATAGTCCTGACCTTGCACCTTCAGATTTCCACTTGTTTCAGTCGCTTCAGAATTCTTTAGGCAGTGTTAGGTTAACATCACGAGAGGACTGACAAAACCACTTGTCGTGGTTTTTTGATCAGAAGCCCCTATAGAACTTCTATAGCAATGGGATCATGTCCCTACCTACAATATGGCAGAAAGTTATCGAACAAAATGGCACCTACATACTTTAGTTAAATGTAAATAAACTTTATTAAAAAATGTTTTGAATTTTCATATAAAATGCGAAGAAACTTTTTCCCCGACCTATTACATAGAATAGAAGGAGAAGATAAGGTAAGAAGGTAGAGGTATCCTTCTCCATGGACTTAAGTAGGGGATCCACTTTGCGGTCTCAGCGTAGGACGTCACATCGTATCTTCGATGCAGAGTAATGTAAATATCCAAGTTGTCCACCATGTGGTTCTTAGCCTCTTAGTGCCCGGTAAGGCAGTAAATAGAGTGCAATTAACTTTTTTATTTCCGATTTGTTGAGTGTGTTGAGTTAAAGTCAGAAAATAACAGCCTATTTATGAATGGTCTGCTGGGGGCCTTAAAGGCTTCCTCTGAACATAGTCCACCACGTCACCCCTTTGCGGATTGGCGGATTTCACATGTGTTCAAAATATTTGTTTTTTTAGTTATTTCGAAAATGCGTAGGTTTCCTTACGGTGTTTTCCTTCACAGCTAAGCAAGTAATAAATCAGCACTTAAAATTGTTATCAATTGTGCCGGATCCGGGAATTAAACTCAGGTTGCTCTTGTCTATTAATATAGTTTTATATTATGTTGCAGCATTGGTTTCGGTGACTTCGTCCCAGGGGAGCGGATATACACGGCGCGCATCGAGACCTCCTTCATCGTGTGCTCTATGTACCTCACCTTGGGGATGGCGCTGGTCGCCATGTGCTTTAACCTTATGCAGGTACCGATCGAATCAAAGTGTAAAATATTCATAAAACAAAGTTTCGTTAAAGCTTACATATCTTTGACTTTGAGCGAAAAAAGATCGCTGAGCTTAATTCGTTTCAGTCATGACATCTTTTATCTAATACTAGCGGCCCGCCCCGGTTTCGCTCGGGTATTTAACAAAATGTTTAAAACTAAAAATTATCATACACATAAAATATTTCGAATATTTCGTTTTTGGTGAACAATTTTATGAATTTCTTCATCTTTTAATGAAATACCCTTAAAATTACGTCATGAAGATCGAAAGACCGCTGACCAGATAATGGTTCCGCTTTAATTACGGGATATTCGGGGTTTCACGTAAAATGACAAATAAGTCTGGCCTCCCATAACTTCGGACATAAATCATCGCATGTTTGGTTTTTTAATGCCGATAACTCGGAGAACCTGTAAATTAATATGACGTTGCAGATTACGCGTCGACCGATATTTGATGGGCCAATGTCTTGATTTAAAGCGTCTCTAAGTTGAATATTTCACCAGCCCTCAGTCTCTGGTGATTCGACTTCATATGTAATTCAATCTTTCTGATATCTTTTTGCCATCATATCGACAATTTCTTGAATAAAAACCGGCCAGGTGCGAGTCGGACTCGCATACGAAGGGTTCCGTACCGACCTATATCAAGCAGGGATAATGTAGCTTATCAACAGTGAAAGAATTTTTTAATTCGGTTCAGTAGTTTCGGAGCCTATTCAATACATACAAACAATCAAATCTTTCCTCTTTATAATATAGAAGATGTAGATATAGATATAAAATTCTCGTGGCACGGTGTTTGTAATTGAACTTCTCCGAAACGGCTTGACCGATTTTCGTGAAATTTTGTGTTCGTATCGGCCAGGCTGGAGTATCGGTATCAACATCTATTTTTCATCCCCCAAAATGTTAAGGGTGGTCCACCCTAAACATATTTTTCTACCGTACAAATAATTTATAAAGCAAAACGTTTGCCGGGTGAGCTAGTTTTTCATATAATAAGAGGTGACTAATAATTTTAAAGTTCATCTGATGCGCTTGATTACATCCTCTTATGGAAACTTATAACAGTCGTAGGGTTTCGTGGGTAACCTTAAACCGTATGAGTTACCTTATGAGTGAAGGCAAAAGACAAAAGTATAGCACTAAAAGTTACTACGTAATAATGCAATAGGATAGGACCTTGTTGTCTCCATTGTAGTAATAAAAATACTAGTCCTAGTGAGCACTCGTACAAATAACTACAATGCCTCATATACGTACGCATACGCAGTTTAATGTTTGTTGCATGTTTATATGTTTAAAGCCATAGCCATTTGAAGATCAATATTTTATTATGTGTTTCAGGAGCAAGTGATACATTACTTCGCGGGATTGAAGCGAGCCTTGAAGCGTATCTGTCGCTGCAAAAGGTGACGCCGTGGGTCATCGTCTTTTTTCAAGTGCTCAATCATTGTATATTTCCTAGTCTACGATTTTATTTATTACCACCAGTTAATCATAAACCATAATGTACAAAACATGACAATTTTGTACGTCGTTTATAGAGAGGAGTTCGGAGGATCTTATGTATCGGAAAATCTGTTCATGTACCATCTTCCAAATATACGTACAAATTTAGTCTTAGTGTGAACATTTTGTAAATAGATAAATTTTGTAGTAGGTACAATAAAATATTGTTTATTGAAATAAAAACTTCAAGATGGATTTCGATTTTTAAGAGAAAATTATTTGCGATCGTTGTAATTGAAAAACTTTGAAATGAAAATGTACGACACAGAGAAAGAGAGAGAAAGAGAAAGCGAAAGAGTAAGGGAGCAAGCGTGTGTGTATTTGTATAGCACAGTGTCCAATGCATGCTCTAACCCGAGCGTTTTAAGTATGATAGCACATTTGTGTAAGCCTGCACATTGCGAAGCCTTGGGAGAAGGCATCTACTTGTATGTTGCGCTAATACTTGCTCTGGTCCGAGCGTTACCAACTTTTACATTATGTGTTATCGTTATATAAGGCGTCACTGGACACCCAAGGGGGCGAGGTCAGGATGTCGTGAAAAAGGATATGGGAGCCAGTGGACTGACCACTGAGGATGTTGAAACTTGGGCAAAGTAGAGGAGTTTGAGTAGGAAGGTAGACTCTGGCAATAGCCTGGCAATAGCCTTGACTATTGCTAGGTAGAAGAAAAGAAGAAGGTATAAAAGGCATCATCTGTTCTACCAGCATGGGAATGAATGTTGCTAGTGTGTAAAAGTTGTTGATATGAACAAGAAACAGGTTAGGAGAAAGTACGTCGCTTTGTGGGACACCATAGTTCACGGGTTTTGAAGGATTTTACATTTGATCACAGGAAGGCTTCCTGTGATTTTATGTTTTGCGTTTAAATTTTTAATAAAATTTAAATTGAACCAGAGTTCAAATTCCGGTGCCAGCACTTATGATTTTTTTTAATTATAAGTCCTACCTTATCACGTGCTCTATGGTGAAAGAAAACATCATGAGAAAACCTGCCATAAAAAAAAAGAAAATTAAAGTAATGTAACAGCCTGTACATGTCCCACTGCTGGGCAAAGGTCTCCTCTGCACTGAGGGTATCAGAGAATAGTCCACCACGTGGCCCCACTGCGGAGTGGCGGACTTCACATATCTTCGATAGAATATTTTTTTGTTATTATTTCGAAAGTAGATTGGATATTGACAAAAACATTGTTCCTTCAGACTGACTTCATTATAGGTAGGACTATAACTTTAAAAGGGAAACTGAAATATCAGAGGCGAAACGAAATTGTTTTTGTAATATCTACGGTGAAATTCATTTAAAATACAAATAAAGTTGCTTCTTCCATTACAAAGAGTAAATATAATGAGCTGAATGAAACACAATATTTTACTTTCTGACATTAATTCAATGGGTAATTGTCAGGAATGTTATAATCAGGAATGGAAGAGTGTCTATGTCGCGGTTAACTGCCACGAATTCATGCATTACTAGCTTATCGCCCGCGGCTCTGCCCGCATGATTCCGACTCGCTCTTGGCCGTTTTTTTTCTAATTTTATGTAATACTTACAATCATCATCATTTTAGAGACCATAATATATAGTTAAACATAGTTTCATCCAATTCAACTGTAGCTATTGTATAATATTTTATCGCAGAAATCTTCAAATTAGTTCTTTAAGTTGATATAACTTTCGTATTATGTACCTATTTAAATAAAACTAATACCAAATATTAAGTGAAGCTTACTACAATGCATTAGTGAAAGTTGCACCCAAATCGGTTAAGCTGTTTCTGAGATTAGTGCGCACAAACGCATAGACAAACTGATAAACAGACAAAAATTTTAACAATCATTGTTTTGGGTTCTACTGCGTTGATAACGGCCCCCTCAATAATCGTTTTTCTCAAATATCTTCCATGTACAGAAACAATCAGTTACATTTCTATTTATGTTTGGATTTATTTAAAATGAAAATAATTAAACAAAATATGATGAATTAATGAATGATAAAATAATTAAACAACTATCTCTGGTAACCACTTCTCATTTTTTGTCCAGGCAATACAGAAAATTAGTATTTGATAAATGTGTGGAACGAGATTTCGTAGCCTCAAATCTGGGAAATGACCTAAGCGTTTAAGGGGCCACTTTACAGAACAAAGGATTGTTATACATGAGTTTTCGACTCAAAAACTATAGGGTATTTCCGGTTGACCTAGAATTGTCAATTTTGATATAAAGCAAGGTCTTACTGCACAAGTAATAGGAAAATTCCGTTTTCGTGAAAATCTAATTTGCTCATAGCTTTTGATCGCGTGGACTCAGGAATTTTTTATACACCTAATAGGGACTATGGACCTCAGTATCTGGTATAAATTTAAATTTAAACATCTTTGGTCGACCCGTTCCAGAGAAAATTGGTGATGTCACACGGACAGACAGACGGACAAGAGAGTGATCTTATAAGGGTTATTAGCTTTTGTGGTACGAAACCCTAAAATGGACTTATATTTTTGAGATTACAAAGTACCGACGAGAATTGACACTTATGTACTCTGATATACTAGTTACTAGGGCCGATGCCACCTGTATGATATGATTAATCCGAGCATTTCCTTTCTTTTCATCTCGCAAAATGGTTCGTTAGAGGGGCAATTCCGTACCGCATTACGCCACGACGGCGTCGGCCGATTCGATTTATTACGTCAATGATAGGTTTATTTAAGCAAACGGTCACAATTTATTACACTATTCGAATATAACTCTATACAAATTATCCACATTTCTTGTGATGTTTTATTTTTTTATTATGGCGTGAAGATCTGTAAAATCTTAGCTAAGTGGCCTATCTTTAAAAGAATGGGGACCCGTAACCAAAGACTAAATGCAAAAAAATATTTCAAATTTGGAATGTGAGTAAACTCTGACTGATACTGAATACATGTATTGGCAACCACTCAACAACTTCTATTAGAATAAAGACTTGTTTGCATACTTTCTGCGTGGCTTGTTATTCATTTGAAAAGGATTCCACACTGGGCCGGCCTGTGTAGTAAAGTCGGCCAGAGAGATCCGCCCTAAGTGGACTCATTAGACACAATTTGGATGTGAGAGGAGGGCGTGGGGGAAGGGAAGCGTTGGTTTTGCGTTTAGCCACTCTTTCCTATCCTCCACGAGTTAGCAGGGATGCACCACTAATTCAGCAGTGCACCAATGTGGTATGTGCGTATAACAGTAAGGCGTCCGAAGAAATATACTAGTCACGTTCAATGAACATTTGGAGAATATATTTCATCAAATTCAACTTCTTACAGTCAGTTTAACCAATAACTACCAATGTGGACTAAAATAGCTGCGTGTTATAATCAGTAACAGTAATAATTGGGCAAGTTCGGTAGTAGTCAGAAAGTTCGCGGCTGAAATCATATGCACTGGGATGCTACCTTGCAACGACTGATCGTAATTCGTTTCAAGATACTAGATAACCATTGCCATTTACTAGAACGAAGAAATATTTCGATAGGACAATCGGCAGCTTTAAAGACGTAGAGAAACGATCTCGAAATTTGCGGTCACCGCGCTTATTTACGCGGCAATAAATTGAAACGGATTTACATTTTCTCCCAACTGACAGCCTCAGCCAGCTCCTTCGCAAGTTTACTTTACGGGAGTGACTCGGAAACAAGTCAATATTTATTCCCCTCTAAATATGTAAAAGCTCTATTGCGATAGCGAAAATTTGGTCGTACTAAATAAACAAAAGTTATTGTATTTTTAGCCCAATGATCATATACATATATCGCACTTCTCATATTACTTTTTGATAAAACTACTCCTAAAGTAGAATTAGATAATTTGGTGGAATTGGATAATTTTTACGCCGAGGCGTAAACAAATCCCCCTGATTTTGTGAGATTTAGCTTAGCAACAAACGACAAATAATGCAAATATTAGGTCCTTACATATTGGCATTTTGTACGGGAGAAATATAGTCATTTTTTTTAGAATATAGTATTATCTATCCACTTTTACCATCTCATTGATACCTCTACTAAAAAAAAACATGACGGGAATCAATAAACTCTCTGTGGGTTTGGACTGCCGTGACGGAGTTGAATTTTTTTCCTTGTAAGAAGTTGTTCAAATTCCGGAAAATATGATAATCTGTTGGAGCACGGTCCGGGGAGTACGGTGGATGTCACAGACACTCTAATTGTAGCTCTAGATGAGCTACTACTCATCTACAACTTAGTTGTTGTATGTTGTGCAGTGTAACAAGCAGCGGTGGCCTATTGCGATTGACCAATCTCGGTTGTTTAGCAGCTAGTTCTTCCTTCATACTTTGCAGTTGCTGACAAAAGATATCTGCCGTAGTCGTTTGGCCAGATCGTTTTTTAGAAAGCTGTAGTGAACTACATCGGCGCTAGTCCACCAAACACTCACAAGTAATTTTTCCTAAGTGAATTTTCGTTTAGGCCAGGTTTTGGCTAGGTTTCCAGAGTTTAGCTATTGCGAAGAGTGCTTCCGATTATCGTACAGTATACAATGTTTCATTAAAATGTATGATTCAATTTAAAATCCTTTCATTATTGTGTCGGTTGAGTAAAGTAACACAGCAGTCGACGCGTGTTTGCAAGTTCGATTCACTCAATTCATGAGGTACGCATCGTTCAAGTTTTTTACTTTGCCGATTTACTTCAAGTGGGGTTGGTTCCGAAGGTCGAAATTTCCTGAACGAAAATATTGAAACCAAAAACGTAACGTGCGACACCAGCGCCGTACACATCATTAATCCTTCGAGCCTTTTCTGCAGCAATGGTGCTACGGTAGAACACGTACTTGTAAGTATACCGATATTTCATGTTTTCCATTGTGCAGTAATAACCGACGCCCAAGAATAAAATAATGAGGAA